ACATTGAGTCCTGAACTGTAATAAACCCAAATGAACAAAACGGGATTTCCTCCCAAGACGTTCGGGGACGTCTACAGTGTGTTAGTTTAAATGCATGTTTATCTGTTTGACTATTAAATTATCTGTTCATGTTTTATGTTTAAACTGCAAATTGAAGGCCATATCGGCGGTCAAATCTGAAATTGATTAATGTTTTATGCTAGTTAGAATTAATGTAATTTTATGATATATTTGATTGAAATGTGATTTGGTATGATTAAATTGGATTAATTAGAGTTGTACCACATTAGTTTGCCTTTATTTCCATTTTGCCACTTAGTGGGTTATGCTAGACCACTCTTTCTCTCACCCTTTGTATTGTCTTAGCACTTTTTTCTCATTCTTCTTGAGCTCAACCGACTAGAGAGAGTGAATGAGAGAGAAAAACTTGATTTCAGCCAATTGCTTGGAGAATTTAGAGAATTTGAAGGAGTCTTGCATAATTGAGCTTCTACACTTGTAATTCAAGGTCTAAGATAGGAGAACCATCTTCTTGAGCTTGCATTTGAGTCATATCTTGCATGATTCATGGTAGATAGGAGCCTGAGGTCATAAATTGGTCTTAAATTGTTGAATTGAAGCTTGTATCATGCATGCATGTGTATATCTTGAAGTTTAGAGTTGTTTTCATGGAAATTCTTGCATGCATGTCCATATTTGGGTTATAATTCATGAATTCATCATGTTTGGGAGTGAATTAACTCATTTGATCATGCTTTGGAAGCTTTGAAGTTGATTAAATTCATGCATGTTGCATGTTCATCATGTTCTTGATGTTTTATTTGAAAATGGTGTTTAATTGACTCACCCTTGGGCTTTGATTTTACAAATTAATCTTCAAAACATGTTATGTTATAAGTTTAAAGTGTTTTTCCAGAAAATAGGCCCAAGAGGTTGAGTTTTGATGCATTAGAGTTGAGTTTTGAGCTTGAGGTTCAAATCTGGAAATTCCAGATTTTGGACTCACGCTCGTGCGAGGAACTCCACGCTCGAGCGTACACCTTGTGTTCATGCAGTCCGCTCGAGCGAGGAAATTGGTGCTCGAGCGTGAAATGCGTGTATCCAGTACTTTGCATGTGTTTACAGTCGCTCGAGCGAGAACTTGTGTCTCACGCTCGAGCGTGGATCGAGCGCCCGTCGAGCGTGATTTTTGTGCATCCAGTACTTTTACTGTAGCTTACAGTCCGCTCGAGCGACGGAAGTCACACTCGAGCGGAGCTCCTTTGTCTGCATGTCCGCTCGAGCGTAGAAAGCCAAGCTCGAGCGAGACCCTTGTTTTCTGAAAATTTTGAAAAGTGTTTTAAAGTGCATCTTTGCATCCTCATTCCATCCTAGGCATTCCTAGGCCTAGTTTAAGGCATCTTAATGAGGATATTGATGTAGAACCACACCGAGGCAAATTAGGGATTAAGTTATTATTTCCCAACTGTGTAGTTTAGTGTGTGTGCTCGTTCTGAAACTGTAGGGTTGGCATCCGAGGACGCTCTAGCTGCTTATAGCCCAGTGCTCTGTGAGTAACTATGTTGTAAAGATATGTTCAATTGAGATTATTTTCTGAACAAATGACTGTACTGCTTTAAGAAATGACACTGTTTACTGAATGAATGTTTGTCCTATTTGTGAACTGTATTCGTGGCATCCATAGCAATTTATTGTTACTGAACTGTTACTGCTACTGTTACAGAGATCTCTGTCGGTTCCCATGTTTGGAACCACTACTGTTTACTGATATGATGGCCATTATTGACTACTCAGTTTGTTAAGATCTACTGTACTGTTTTGCTATTGGATATACCACATATGACTATTATAGTTTCTGAATGACTGTTATGGCATGAATTATGAGCCACAAACTGAATGATTGATATACTGATAAACGACTGTTTTCAATACTGAAAAGATATTCATTCTTAATCTCTTTACGCATATGTTATTCACTGGGCTTTAGCTTACTATTTATATATATATGTAGGTGTTCAGGCACCGGACCAGAGCTAGTAGCATCGGATTAGCTCTTGTTTTGTCAAGCCAACCATCGTGCCTCACCTTGAGGTTCCAAGTGCTACCAAGCTAAGGCTGCTTCGGGGTGTTTTAGATTTCCCCTTTCTGTCTCTGTTTGTATAGACTGTTATTGTACTGTTATGGTAGGGACTTGGTCCTTAACTTGTATGATTGTATATGAATGTATATGTATTGTTTATGTGGATATGTATGAAAAATCCTTTTGCATATAGACTGTCACAGCTCATTGGACATCTTTAATTACTGTTTTGGCTTCCGTCAGTCTCTGTACTCTGTATTATTGTTATTACTGTTAAGCAGGCCTTCGGTAATCTCGGATTACTGGCCGGTTACGGTGCTAAACCCATAAGGGCAGGTTTGGGTCGTGACACTCAGATCCACCAATTTGTATGGCTTTGTTGTTAGGTAATAAGATATTTTGATTTACCACATACCTCCCCATGGATTCGTTGGCTGGGTAGACGGAACAGTGGATGGTCCAATTCCATGGCCTTGTCCAACATTTTGAACATGTGGCGCATGTTCCGAGTTGCTAGTTTGTTCTACCATAGGTTCTGATGAGATAGGTGCTTTCATAGGATGTGTTATCACATTATCCTCTGGACCAAGTACTTTTACTTCTACCTCCACACTTTTTTTCAGGCATTCATTTTCTCATCATCTCCTACGTCTAGCCATTTTAGTGTCCCACTGGGCGTGCAAAAAATATATGTTAGCTTTTTGGCTTTCGAAGGTTAATAATGTAATTTTAAACATGCCAGCAAGGATCAATTAGTCCTTACAAAATATTAATTGCCAACCAGTTATCAGACGATCGTGTTATAGTTCCCTCAGCCTCAATGAAGAGGACTTTTACTAGTGGCTTGTTTAGGAGAATTTAGTAAATAACAACAAGTGAAGAACAATTTCAGAATTTGAATTTCATTAAGTAAAATGAAAACTTACAATGATCCGACCCAGCCTCGTAGAGGTTTACAACAACAAGCTATTTGAAACTACTCCTAGAAATGAAGTGTAGTACAGAAATTGAAGTGCAGAAATGTAAAGAACTAGAAAAACTGGAAGGAAAAACGAAGTAAATAAACTGGTTTTTTGATTTGAGTCCTGCGCTTCATTCTGGGGTCTTCTCTGCTATTTATACTCTTCAATGATAACCGTCGAAGTGGGCTTCTAACCATTGAAACGTCCTCCCATAATTAGGGGTGAGCATGGTTCGGATTGGACCGGATTGGGGTAAAACCAGAACCAATCCGTTATCTACGGTTCCTGAAAAATTGGAACCAATCCAATCCATTTAAATCATGGAACCAATCCATTTAAATACGGATTGGATCGGTTTAGGACCACGGATTCACATAATTAAATAACAAAAATATATATATAAATAACACTTTAATTTCATAAAAATATAAACATAGCGCTATATCAGTTCCCTAATAGCAACATGTTTTTCTATAATAATGACATACCGCTCTTGAATTTAAACAACCATAAGAAAATACAAACAAAAGTAATAAAATAAGATATTATACGGCTTTAGGTTTGAGTTTAGATTTTATATAGAATAAGAGAAGATACTATGGGGGAGGATGTATAATAAAAATATAGACTATTTGTATACGGTCCGGATTGGTTCTAATCCGGAACCGTGGGGTTCAATCCGGAACCAATCCGTGGACTACGGATTTTTAATTCTTCAATCCGGAACCGAACCGCGGATTCAAAAGGCCAATCCAAACCTATCGGATTGGACTGGACTGGATACGGATTTCACGGATTCCTTACTCAACCCTACCCATAATTGTTGAATATGCTCTCTCACAGCCAATTCCACTATGCCACTCTTGCAGTTAGGCTTCCCTCCTGATTTTGAATTTAAACTTTATGAGTAACCGTTAGGTCACATCATCTTGTATCTCTCGATTGTTCCAGTGCTACGCAGATCTATTATTACCAATACGAACTGTCACGTGCCTGACTTTGGTTGACAACTTGTATTAATTCTCCAAATTGCCCCTTCCATACTACGTGTTAAATTGTGATTGACTTTTACAAATTATACAGTCAACAATAATGCTTAGTTATAATTTTTTTTATAGGTATAACTCATAAAGTGTGGAATTCTATTATTTTATTCTTTAATTATAAGGCGTAGTCTTTTCTTTAAAGTAAACGATTATGTTTTCAAACCCCTTATATTTACTTTAAAAAACTTGAAAAATTTAACGTAGAGAGTGAGAGTTGAAACTAAAATCTTGAATTTGATAAAGAAAATATTTTAGTGACACATAATATATAATAAAATTGTTATTTTATTTTTACTTACTTGAATCACAAACACATCGCATATATCAGCAGCTAATTTTTCATTAAAACAAGGCGCAACTTGGGTGACTTAATTTGAGTAATTTGACACCAGCTCATAATTTTTTCAGCCTTGGGCAGTATAAATGGGAAAATTACAATTCAACTTAAATTCTCAAAACTAATTACAGATAATTGGTAAAGTTTATTAATAGTAATTATTAAAATCATAATCTTTACCATGAAATTGTAATATTATTTTAGAAATACCACTCTGGTAATTTTCTCAATATAAATTCGAATTTAGTTTTTGGGCCTTCCTTAAAATTTCAAACCCAAATTAGGGTCAGGATCCACCACGGGTCACGAGGGTATTACAGCTTGTGCTTGCAGACCACTAGTGTTTGAATTCTGTTTTTTGTTTTTGTTTTTGTTTTTGAATAGCAGTTTCTAAATTCAACTGTTGCAAACACTGCTAATCCTTATAGGTCAATGCCTGAATCCAACTCATTAAATTAATTCACCCAATAATCTTCTCATCAGCACTAATTAATATAAAATAAAAAATTAAAAAAAATTAAAAATCATCCCCTCTTGGTGTCATCACACCATTGGTGTATCTTCACACTCTCCAGTTTAGGTTTATCAGAATGAATAAAATATTTTGTAGCAATTTCATCTAAGGCTCATCACAGCTCAACAATGTACCCATGAAAATTCCTTAAATTCAACCATACTCAAAATATTAAAAGAGAAGAAAACCTCAGCTCAAAACTCCCGCTCGCATCCCAGATCAAAAAATAGCTAATCCAGACATCTCTATCTGTGGCAGACACAGGCCAGAGCCGTCAACACGTTTCCAAGTCGAAGACTATATATATGTATATTCATTTGAACACGATGAATAACACGTAGATTTTTTTTCTTAATTTTGGTTGTTAAAATCATGAAGGAGAAGCAGCACTTTCATGTTAGGATTCGCTGTTGTGTGAACCAACACTTCCATCCTTTGATTCAGCATTGCTGTAATGCATTGAATTCTCATAAATGCTTGAATTGGAACGAGTACTTCCTTCTTGCATCCTTAAATTTGAACCGTCACTTTCATCGTGCCATCCTACATTGCTGTTGGACCTTGAATTTTGACCCGAATTTCCATGTTCAGATTCAGCATCGCTATTGTCACTTGAACTTGAACTCGAACCAACGCCTCCATCTCTGTTACTGTTTTGCCTTGAATTTGAACGAGATTTTGGATCTTTGTCGCTTGAACTCGAACCAGTACTACCTCCCCGAGATTCCGCTTTACTTCTGCATCTTGAATTTGTAGCCCATTTTACAGTTTTTTTAACTTGTCCTTTGGGGTTTTCCGAATTGCTTTCTTTGCTTTCTTCACGTTGATGGTGTGTCGTGTTTCCATCATCATCATCATCATCATCATCATCAGAACTTTCAGAACTATCTCCGTCCTTGTGATAATCAGAACTGTTTCCTTCCCCATGATTGTAATGATTTTCAAGCTGGTTGGGAACTGGGAGAGCATCATCATCTTTAAGAAAGCTAAGAGCTGCAACAACATCACTAATTAAGGGACGGACTGAAGGTTCCTCCTGAAGACACATTGCTGCGACTCCAACCACTTGATTTAAGCTTCTCTCCGGGAATTTGCCTTTAAGAAGGGGATCTGCCAACTCGGGAAACCTTTTTGGATCCCTGAAAATGGGTCGTGCCTGTTCAAACACAAGAATAAAAGCATAGCCACTCATGAATGTGTCTGAAAATAAGAAATAAAGCACAAATTAGAAGTGTTTGATATCATTTTTGTTTTTGTTTTATGTTTTCAACATTGAGAAAGCAAAAAAACTTGAAAACAACCAACCCAGTTTTGGGAAATTTTAATTGAAGACAATCCACTTTTGGAAAACACCAAAAAGTTATTTTTGAGGGAAAGTGAACAGAAAAGCATGAAAAGAATTTTTAACCAAACTATTCTGAAAACTATTTTAGATTTTTTTTTCCCTGAAAAAACTAGTTTTTAAGAAACACCAAATAGTTGTTTCCTCACAAAAATGAAAGAAAGGTGAAAGTGAATTGTTTTTGAACTTTCTGTTGTTTTTGTTTTCGAAAACACAAAAAACAAGAATGAAAAACAAAAAGATACCAAAAAGCAATTTCTTTATATTTTTGGTAAACAAAGAAAGAGAGGGAAAGAAACTAAGAGTAATCATATTTACCCAACTAACTACGTTTTGCTCGGTGGTAGGTCGCGTAGTATCGATGGCTCTTCGTCCAGAAATGAGCTCGAGTAAAATGACTCCAAAGCTGTATATATCCGACTTCAATGTGAGCTCACCTGATCTTTCATACTCGGGAGCACAATAACCATAAGATACATGCATCTTGCTGCCACCAAGTCCAAGCTTAGCAAGCCCATAATCAGAGAGCTTTGGATTAAAATCTTCATCCAAAAATATGTTTGAGGATTTTAAATCCCGATATACAACAGAAGGGTTTGCCTTCTCGTGCAAATACTCCATACCTTGAGCAGCACCTGAAGCTATTTTCATTCTTGCTAACCAATCTAACGGCTTTTTATCTTCTGAAATGTCTGTAATATTTAAAATCAAACTACCAAATTATTTCATTACATTCTTTTCAAACATACATCAACACTTTTTCATTTCATACTAACTAAAAAGTTAGTACCGACAACCCCGAGCAAGCATAAAGCACAAAATTAATTAAATTACACTTTCTTTGTATAATTCAAAAAATAATAAAAATAAATAAAAATAAAGAAGAAGGAATAACAGACAAGAGGTTCAAGTAAGCACAAATATTTTTATGTTGGCATGCAGGCTCAGAACCGTGTAAAACTAGAGTGAAGAGAGAGAAAAAAAAAAAAAGTTATTGTCTCTATAAATATCAATGTACTTTTAGAAATGACAGTAAATTTTTTTTTTGAATGAAGATACAAAAAGGAAACAAGTACCGAGTAGATGATCTTCTAAAGAACCGCTTGGCATATATTCATACACCAGAAGCCTCTGATCGCCGTCAGCACAATATCCGATGAGGTGTACCAGATTTGGATGATGGAGGAGACTCAGCACCAAAACCTCAACAAGAAACTCCTTGTTTCCTTGCATTCCATTCCTGTCCAGCTGTTTCACTGCCACAACCTATTCATCGCAACCCAAAAATTAAAGCTCAAATGTGTTATAATTCCACATAAAAATACAAACACATCAATTCAGAACAATGTTTATATCTTCATTTTTTTATATTAATACAACTGCTAATCAGTTTAAAACAAAGTCAAAAATCCTTGTTACCTACCTTCCCACCCTGAAGTGTTCCCTTGTAAACCCTTCCAAATCCACCTTCACCCAATAGACATTCTTGCTTGAAGTTCTTTGTTGCAGCAGCCAGCTCACGGAAAGTGAAAGTCTTTGCTGCATTATATTTATTTTCAGTTACGTTAGTTTCCTCCTTTTCATATGTACCATTATTCACTGCAAAACAGGGAATGAATGCTTAGGAGTAACACAAAACCTAGAAATTTAACACGATTTAAGATCATGACCTCATCGCCCAAAATTAAATTAAAAAAGAAACATACTTTAAGATCTAATTTTGAACTGAAAGACATGAACAAAAAGCAGATTTTCAGGGTGTCACATAGACATTCACATCAAGATTACATTTCCTAAGAAGCACGGAGACTTCTAAGAAGGTAATCTGTCTGTGTTAGACACTTGTCACGCACCAACATCCTCAGACGTGTGTTCAATACTCTTTTTTCCATGTCCATAACCAAAAATAAAAATCTTAATTCGGACATGTATCCATGTCCTATGTTCGTGTCTATGATTCATAGCTTAGTTGCACGAAGCGGGAGCGGCAGCGTGGAATTGTAGACATTTCAAGAATCGTTAGCTGGGGGCGTTTGTATATATTTTAAATAATATATAAAAATATATTGTAAGATTATATTTTTTATGGAACGATATATGTTATAAATAAATAAGAAATATAAAAAATCATATGTTAAAATATTCTAATTATATACTTTTATTAGAATTTTTTTCATTCATTCTAAAATATTTTTATTACTTTTTTATCTATTTATTCTAAAATATTTTTGTTAAAAATTATTTGTTTTATGTTATTTTCTTAAAAAAATAGCATAATAACTTTAATTCAATAAATATAATATATAAATAAATACATGTAAATTTATAAAGCCAATATATAATATATAAATTAAAACAAATATATATATTTTATAAAGGTTATATATAATATATAAATAAAAACATATATATACATATATAAGTATAATTTATAAAAACATAAATAAAAATATATATACATACATATTACATATATATCTATCTTTATATCTATATAATCTGAGAAGAGAAGTAAGATCAGAGAGAGAGAGAGAGAGAGGAGTCGCAATGTCCAGCGAAGAGGGAGAGAGTTGTGAACCACTTGCAAAGAGAGAGAGAGACGTCACGAAGACGTTGCGACGACTAGCGAAGAGGAGAGAGAAGTCGCGATGGCCTGTGTATGACTCGCAAAGACCAGCGAAAAGGAATGGAGAAGTTTGCAATAGCCTGTGAAGGTCTTGCGATGGCCCACGATGGAGCTCCGACTGAGAAGAAGACAAATTCATGATCAGATTCGTGTTTCTCTCGCATCAAACTCGCAATTCTTTTATGAATTTGAGTCAGAAGCGCATAATCGCGCTTTTGAAGAAGAATCGTTCGCAACATGAACGGTTCCTGCTACTAAGATTCATAGCACATTTCAATAAAATCCTAATCAATAAAAGAGACGTTGCTCTCTCCACACAATGAATCTATTATCGGAGAAAAGGCACACATCTTCTCCTCAAGAGATTAAGGCATACTCTTAAAGGGATCTAAACATGGAAAACAAATTCATTATAGCATATGCAAATTTTTGCGTCATTTTTCACTTGTATCCGGAACGTACTCAAAATAGTAAATGTTTTGATCAGCAGCGACATACAAATTATTTGATGAAATCTCGTAATTGCACTTTTTTCTTAATTATAGTCGATTTGACTTTATAAAACAAAGAAATAGATATAAAAATGGAAATAGGTTGAACCTAATTGATGATGCATCGCCTATTAGGGAAAAACAGCTCTTACATAGAATTTACATCCTTAATGATTTAATCAAATAATGGTTCTTTGTTGGATTGAGTTGATCTCTTGAGGCTAGTGAAGGAATTTCACACTATAGGCCCAATCATACAACTTGAAATTAAGTTGATCCTCAATGACAGAGGAGTCATGTAATTTGCCCCTCAAATCTTGTCGTACAGCATATGAAATTTAATTTATGTAGAACATATGAAATCTAACAGAAATTCAGTTGTCCACATCTAACGTCAAAGGCATAAAAATATAACATGTTCTCGCAGTGAACTACAAAATCTTAAGAACCTACATTTGAAACTGTAACACTGCACCTTTTAATTAGTTACCATTTAAAATTCTTTGTTAGAATACAAATCCAACTCTTATTTACAATCGATCGAGCGAAGTAGTCTGTTAATCCTTGACTAATCCCAGGTACATGTTGTTCCCCGAACCAGATATATATGTATATAAATATATATTATCATGAGGGTGCCTAGGGTTTCACCCCAACTAATAATCACGGGTACATGTTACTTGAGACAAGCCTTGTAAACAGGTGTCAATTATGAAAACATCATTAAAATACGAAATTCATAATGAAATTAATTGGGGATTCTAGTGTGAGAGCATGAACACAGGGGGATATGTGTCTGTGCATGAACTCTGCTAAAAAAAATGCAATTAGAGGAACTCCACATGCATATAGTGTTGTTATCAAGGTTTGATAGAATGCAATGTATAAAATTGAAGCCCAATCGTGAAAAAACAGAAACAAAAACAAAATTTGAACATAACCCATAATTTTCCATAGAAAGGAAGAGACAAAGAGCATATATATATATATATATATGATTTGGAAAATACCTGGTGGTGGGGCTGGTGATGGTGATGCATCAACAACAGCTGCTGCAGGTTGTGGTTGTGGTTGTGGTGGTGGTGGGGCTGTAGCCTGAGCTACAGGCACATCGTTCTCGCTATTTGATTGTTTACTTTTGTGTGATGAAAAACATGGGAAGCAATTCATCTCGTGATTTTCCTTCCAATAAACAATCCCAAAACACCCAAAAAAACAAATGTTTTATCCTTCTGGGATCGTTGAAATGTCTTTTTAAGATAAACCGAAAACAAACCCACCAACCAACCAACCTCCTCTTTATATAACTAATAATAACATGCAACCAAAAATTGAGATTAAAACAAAAATTCCTGAAAAACCCATGAAAATACAACTAGAATGAAACAAATTTATAAGCATATAATAAATGGTGGTGAAGGAAAAACCCTGAGGAGGTGGTGGTGGTGGCGGCGGCGGCGGCGGCGGTGGAAGGTGGTCCCACCAGAAAAATGAAGGAGCCTGGGCCGCAGCAGCAAACAGACAGAGGAGGAACCTGGATGAGGATTATTAATGTGAATGCGAACCCCACAAAAAATAAAACAAAAACTAGAAAAACTAAAGTAACAAATCATTAGGGGAGGGAATGGAGGAGGGGGCCATGTTTTTGGGAATGCGGTTGAGAGGGGAGAAAATTTTTCAAGATTTTTTCCTTTTTTTAAAAAAAAAATAAAAAAAAATTGTTTATGTCTCTTCCCCGAGTCCCCGCAGAAAAATGGGGGGAGTCGAGAGGACGTGTGTTTGTGAGATGGAATGCCTTATAAACGACGTGGGATCCATGAACATCGATCGAGCTGGTTCTAGTTGGAAATTTAAATAAAATAACTCTAATTCTTGCTAATCTTAATTGGTTCTAAATTTAGGTGATTTACACGGACAACCTTAGATACTTCTAAAATCATTCTATCACCCCTTCCATATTAAAAATATCACTTACCACTCTGTTAACCTGCTTATCAATTTACTATAGTAGCTTTATTTATTTATTTATTTATTTTTGAATTGGATAGTAGCTTTATTTGATCAATCCAAATAATAAGGCCCTTCCTTATTCTCTTCGCCTCCCTTTTATCTCTTCTGTACATTACCATTGAAACCAACACTACCACAAACTATTAAAATCATCCATTACAACTCAATGTCATTATAGTCTTCTTCTACATTTTCTTTTTCATGACCAACCCGACTATCTTTGTTATGTCATTTGTCTTTCATTTTCGGTACCGTCGTAACCTTAGCCTTTTATACCATAATCCTCTATTGAGATTATACAACCCAATTCCTTTCTATATGATGACATCCTGTTACAATCAAACACATCCAGAAAATAATCTCACACACACAGAGTACACAATATTTACGTGGTTCTGCCCGATGCTTACATCTACGAACAGAAATAAGAATTTTCACCAACATGGAGCAAAATACAAAACAGAGGAGGAGATAAAGTTCTCACTCAACTCACAGCTCTCTCTCTCTCAAATTTCTGATACAATACATCATCTCCCTCCCATCTCTATTTAAACACAAAGATGAGAGAGAGAGAGAGAGAGGAGACAAACCCACCACAATTTTCTACCTTATTAATGGTGGATGGTGAGAATCAACAAACAGCAACAACGTGAAGAGAACGAAGGGCTGATCTTCTAGATGCCCAGCTCAGACCTTCTTCTCTAGGGATGAAAGTCTTCATATGCCATCTTCTTTGACTCTCTCATTTGTATGGTTTTGCATACATGTGAGTTGGAGCAACAATTCTCTCCCTCCATACTCACATGCATGACTGACTTCTCACTTGAAGTCCATTCCTGCAATGTCTCTGCAGATTTCGAGTTTGTCTCTCGAGACCACCTTTGTAAGCATGTCAGCTGGATTCTTATCTGTGTGGATCTTGATCAGTTCCAATAACTGTTTTTCCATCACTTCACGTATCCAATGATACCGAACATCAATGCGCTTCGTGCGAGAATGGTACATCGAATTCTTGCTCAGGTCTATGACACTATGGCTATCACAATGTACCGTGAACTTTTCTTGCTTTAATCCCAATTCTTGGAGAAACCGCTTCAACCACAACATCTCTTTTCCAAGCTTCCGTTGCGGTAATATACTCTGCCTCGGTTGTGGATAAAATAACACACTTCTGTAGCTTGGATTGCCAAGACACAACTCCCCCTGCGAAAGTGAACAGAAATCTTGATGTAGATTTTCTACCATCAAGATCTCCCTCTATATCTAAATCAGTATAGCCTTCCAAGACTGGTTTAGCTCCTCCAAAGCACAAACACATTTTAGATGTACCCTTAAGGTTCCTTAGAATCCACTTGACTACTGCCTCCCAATGCTCCTTTCCTGGATTGGCGAGGAATTTGCTCATAACGCCAACTATGTGAGCCATATCTGGCCGGGTAAACACCATTGCATACATCAAACTCCCTACTGCGGATGAGTAGGGAATAACCTCCATCTCTTCTCTTTCTTTTGTAGAGGAGGGACAAGAACTCTTGCTCAGCTTGAAATGATTAGCCAGCGAAGTACTGACTGGCTTGACATTTTTCATGTTGAACATCTCAATCACCCGTTCAACGTACTTCTCCTGTGACAGCCACAACTTCTTGGCTTTCCTATCACACATAATTGTCATGCCCAAAATTTGCTGTGTAAGGCCTAGGTCCTTCATGTCAAAGGACTGTGATAACTCCTTCTTCAGTGATCTGATTGCTGTGGCATCCTGTCCAACGATCAGCATGTCATCAACATAGAGCAGGAACATGATGAAGTTTCCACCGGGAAATTTCCTGACATAAACACACTGGTCTGCAACAGTTCTCTTGTACTTATGACCCACCATAAATGAGTCAAACTTCTTGTACCACTGTCTTGGCGCTTGTTTGAGGCCGTAGAGACTCTTCTTCAATCTGCAAACTAAGTTTTCTTTCCCTTTGACTTCAAAACTTTCTAGCTGTTCCATGTAAATTTCTTCCTTCAGATCACCATGGAGAAATGTCGTCTTCACATCCATCTGTTCAAGTTCCAAATTCAAACTAGCCGCTAGTCCCAAAACTACTCGAATATATGTCATTTTCACAACTGGCGAGAAGATTTTATCAAAATCAATACTTTTCTTCTGCCCAAAACCTTTGACAACTAATCGAGCCTTATAATTGACTAGCTTTCCACTGCCATCTCTGTTCAACTTGAACACCCATTTGTTTTGTAATGCTTTTCGACCCTGGGGAAGTTTCACCAAATCATAAGTCTGATTTTTCTGCAAGGACTACATCTCCTTTTGCATAGCTTGCTACCAGCTACTCTTCTCCTTATGATTCTGAGCTTCTTGAAAACTTTCTAGCTCCCCTTCATCAGTAAGCAAAATATACTCAGAAGCAGGGTATTTGGATGACGGCTTAGATTCTCTTGTTGATCTTCGTAACTGTGGACCAAGAGTCTCTGGTGGAGGGGGTTGTGGCTCCCCCTATTCAACACCCTTTGCTTCTGGATCTTCTTTTTCTGAAAATCCATCTTGTAACTCTACATCATTGGCTGCATACTGTGGTAGCTCTTCTTCATTAGTGGCATGTTGTGATGGTGCAGGATTAGGAATAATTTCTGAAACATTATCAACTTTGGGTTTGGCTGGTTGCCCAAAGTCTTCTAAGGTCTGGCTTTCTTAAAACACCACATCTCGGCTTCGAATGACCTTCTTGTTTTTCGGATCCCACAATCTGTATCCAAATTCTTCATCTCCATAGCCAATAAAGATGCATGGAGTGACTTTATCATCCAGTTTCTGTCTGTGCTCCTTGGATATATGTGCAAATGCTTTGCACCCAAACACTCTCAAGTGAGAGTAAGAGATCCCCCTTCCAGACCATACTTCTTTTGGAATCTGAAAATTCAGTGAAATTGATGGCGATCTATTGATCAAATAGCAAGCAACATGAACAGCTTCTCCCTAAAATGGCAAAATGGCTTTGGCAGCTTTGCCATTTTGAGCGTATATCTAACATTCTCCATAATGGTGTGGTTCATTCTCTCAGCTACACCATTGTGTTGTGGGTTCCAGGAACAGTCTTCTCATGCCGAATACTGAGAGTAGCACAGTAGGCTTCAAACTTCTTTGACGTGTACTCGCCTCCATTGTTTATTCGGAGACACTTTAGTTTCTTTCCGGTCTCCCTTTCCACCATAGCATAGAATGTCTGAAAATGCTGGAACACCTCAGCTTTGGTCTTTAGGACATAAACCCATACCTTCCGTGATGCATCATCAATAAACGTCAGGAAGTATTTTCTACCACCCAAAGATTCCACTTCTTTGGGACTGCAAAGATTAGAGTATACTCTGCTTAACAACTCTGATTGTCTTTTGGATGATGAATGGAAAGCGACTCTATGATGCTTCCCAAATAAGCAGTTGTCACAAAGAATTCAATTTCGCATCTTTGGCAAAGGGAATAAGCGACTTCTTTCCCAAAATCTGCAATCCTTTCTCACTCATGTGACCTAGCCTTTTATGTCACAAATTTGGTGACGCATCATCTTCTGTTGCGTTAAGGCTATCTGAATTCATCTCAACATGAGTCTTGTACAGTGTGCCAATTGCTTGTCCTCTAGCTACTACCAACGATCCCTTTTTCAACTTCCATATGCCTTTGCCAAAATAGTTCTCATAGCCTTGTCGATCTAAGGCTATTCTTGAGATAAGATTCAGGCGTAAATCGAGAACATGCCTGACATCTTTCAACACCATCGTGCACCCAACTTTGGTTTGGATGCAAACATCACTGATTCCCATAATCTTCCAAAAACTGGAGTTACTCATCTTCATTGTACCAAAATCTCTAGCTTAGTACGTACTGAAGAACTCCTTCTGGAATGTAGCGTGGTAGGAAGTTGTTGTATCTACCACCCACTCGGTGTCGTTGTCTGACATATGGAGACATTCTTCTTCTTTAACAGAGAATAATGTAATATCCTCTGAGACAGTAACTGCAGTGTTCCCATCTTTGGTCTTTGGCTGTCTATTACCTTGTTTTTGTTCTCCCTTCAAGGTATAAGAATACTTCTTTATGTGACCTTTTTGGCCACAATGGTAACATTTGAACCTTGGTCGGTTCGTACCTTCTCTAGATTTCCCTTTGTTTTGAGATCTTCCTCTATTGAGTCCTTTACTTTTGCTTCTTCCCTTGCCTTGGCCTCTGCCTTTATTTTCTGTGACGAGGGCATGGGATTGATCTCCACCCATCTCTTTCTTTCTTGTCTCTTCACTAAATAAAGCATCTGTAACCATGCTCATGGTCAATTTTCCTTTTGGGGCAGAGTTGCTGAGGGACACCACCAACGTCTCCCAACTGTCTGGCAAAGAACTAAGCAGTAATAGGGCTGCATGTCATCATCCAACTCCATTTTGACAGTTGCTAGTTGGTTCATTAGATTTTGAAACTCAGTGGTGTGTTCAGCAACAGAGATACTGCCTTTTAGCTTCAAATTTACAAGTCTTCTCATCAGGAGGGCTTTGTTCCGAGCAGTCTTTGACTGGTACATGCCTTCTAACTTTGTTCAGAGAGCATATGCATCAGTTTCCTGGGCGATATGGTGGAAGACACTGTGATCGATTCATTGTCTGATCTGGCCAATGGTCTTTCGGTTCTTCCGCTTCTAGTCTTTGTCTTTTTCCGTTGCTGGTTTAACTCTATTAAGCTCAATGAGGTCAAACAAATCTTGACAATATAGGACATCCTCCATTCTAGGCTTCCAAATGGCATAATTGGAAGCATTTTAGCTTTATCATGGAACCTGAAGTCGACGTTGATTCCTCCATCAGACTTCGCCATTGAGTCTGGACTAATCAAATTAGTTGGAAAAGCACTTCGGATTGCCAAAATAAAAAATGCAAAATTTTAAAAACTGATTTGCAAAATCTGACCATACGGATGTGTCCGGAATATTCCAAATAGTTGGAAAGCACTATTGGATCATCAAAAACGGACCCATAATGGCTCAGACAAAGCCAAAACCGGTTGGACCGCTTAGATAGGTAGAAGCTGGTGTGGCTGAGAAGCATTGGATAATTCCTCCGGCTTGGCTGGCGTCGGGCTGACGTCAGCGGCTTTGTCAACAGTTCAGACAGCGGCTTCGGTATCGGCTCCGACTCGGCTTAACTCGACTTGGTCAACGGCTCAGATCCGGTTCGGCTCTGGGCTTGACGGCTCAGACAACATCAGTTGCTGTCGATGTGATGTTAGGTAACGACAGTAGGATGATGTTAGCACCTGGCGTACTGGGGAAGACGCGTGGTGCACATAGTAGCACGTCAAAGTGCGTGAGCACGATGTCACAGGGCGCATGTAGGCGTGTGCGGCTTCGTTCGATGTCCTTTTTTGACGCAGTTTTCACCTCTGTGATCGTCTAGTCGAGAGCTTCAAGGTTATGTGATCAAAAGTGGATTTCGACTACTTTAATTTCTAGGCAAGTTTTGAAAACACACTGTTTTTTTGAAAACGCACAAAACCGGCTTTGATACCACTTTGTTAGAATCAAACACACCTAGAAAATAATCTCACACACACAGAGCACACAATATTTATGTGGTTCGGCCCAATGCCTATATCTACGGACAGAAATGAGAATTTTCACTAAAATAGAGCAAAATACAAAATAGAGGAGGAGATAAAATTCTCACTCAACTCACAGCTCTCTCTCTCTCAAATTTCTGATACAATACATCCTTTCCCTCTCATCTCTATTTATACACAAAGATGAGAGAGAGAGAGAGGGAGAGAGAGGAGACAAACCCACCACAATTTTCTACCTTCTTAATGGTGGATGGTGAGAATCAACAAACAGCAACAACATGATGAGAAGGGAGAGCTGATCTTCCAGATGCCCAGCTCAGACCTCCTTCTCTGGAGGTGGAAGTCTTCCTATGCCATCTTTTTAACTCTCTCCTTTGCATGGTTTTGCATGCATGTGGGTTGGAGCAACACATCCATGTAAATAATAACTACCTAAAATTTTATGCACCTTATAATATTGTTAATGAAGATCCATACAACCAAAGCTAACAACGAATATAAGCTAAAAATTCCAACTCAACCCAACCTTAGGGACCCAATATTTATCTCAAGTTCTAAAATCATTATACTAAATTAGGTAGGTCAATGACCATCCCTATGGCAATATATGACTTCACCACTTCAACAAGACTTGGACCTGACCCAACGTAGTGTAGAAAACCTTAAGACATAACTATAGTGTTGCAACAATTTAGGACACATCATAATTGATTAGTATTTGAATATAGGATCTTGTTGCAGGATGGCCATGGGCATAAGTTGGCAAGGCCACCACCTAAGGCCTTCAAATTTTTGATAAAAAATAGGCCTTCCAAATGGATAGCTTACCAAAAAAATGGAACCTTTTGGAAGAACTATTAAGTTTAAAAATTAAAGTGAGAAGCTTAAACTTAAAAGCATGTTTATGAAATTGATCTTCAAACAATGGAGAATTATAAATCCAACCGATATATGATTTAAAATTACATTCTGTCCAGTACAGTATTTCAAAGTGAAATTTCATAATATTAATTTTTTTTCCGCTCTAACCACCTAATATTGGTTACAATAATGAAAAATAATTTTGTTGTTAAAGTTGGGTCATTTCATGCCCATTTGATACCACAACTTTTACACATTGTTTGTTCCCAAAACATGCTGTAAGTTTTGTTAGGGGCAAATACTATTTTGCAATCTTTATATGAAAATATATATATATATATATATATATTCAACTTAATTCTTTAAATTTTGCATCTTCCTTATTTAGCACCATTTCCAACCACTTCAACATATTAAACCATAGTGTAGATTTGGACAGTTGTTTTCAAACCAATTTTTTGAACAATTAATTTTGACTAATCTAACTTCACAGTATTGATCATGTAATGAAAAACAATCGCAGTAAAAATTTTAGGTTTTTCACATTGTTAGCAACAAATTCGATTTTTGCATACTGTCTAAACACCAAATGGTCCAGGGTTGAGTTTCATGCATGGGAATTTAATGAATTATTAGAATCTTAGCTATTAACTAATGTATTATTTCCATTCATAGCTATTCCATTCAGAATTAGTATGAATATAGAAAGTAATATAATTGTATTATATTTTTCAAAAAGAAAAGGCAATCTGCTAAGATAAAAAATAAAAAAAATTAAAAATTTGAAATTAAAGCGAAAAATCTTCTCTCAATGATTAGAATTTTGGATTTAAAAAAAAGGAAGACAATTACTAGTTAGTTAATGATCATTACTGAAAATTCGCAAAACAATAAATGTACAAAACAATCCTTCTCTCTATTTTTTTTTCCCCAAATAGAGAGATGAAATTGAGAACATTGAAAGCAGATTTTGAAAGTAGTAAAAACATTCAGGAATCTAAAACCAGTCACCATAACCAAAGAATTAACTGAATAAGAGCATGCACTAACATGACCCCTAGCAGTTCCCTATCAATTTATTTCCAACCAAAGCCCTCTTAGCACAACTCTGCTCTGCAAACTCCACAACCAAGCAAGCACGAAAAATCACAAATGGCCAGAAAAACCAACACAACAACTTGACAGCAATTCAATTTGCATGCTTTGAGGATTGGAATTTGGCTTTAAGACACTTATTAGATCTTCTCAATTTTACTTATTTATTCTCCTTTGGCCTGATGTCGATCCCATGAACAATGAGACCGCTCTTATGTGGTTCGGCCCAATGCCTATATCTACGGACAGAAATGAGAATTTTCACTAATCCATCCTCGTTGAAGTATTCACCCAACTGAATCTCCATCCACCCATCTCCTCTCGCCTTTGGATATCGACTGTCACTTTGTCTTGATATAGACGCAAATGGCCTCAACATTCTAGTACGTATGCGGTTAAACACCCCACCTGGCCTTGGTATAATCTGAAATTGCTGCCGGTGCCCAGTGTCAGGATCCAAATAAACAGTTTGTGTTTCACTTTCACCCCCAGTGATTCCAACCGTGACCTCTGCTGGTTGGTATTCAAATCCATAGGCTTCTTCTGTTGATTTGAATACAAGGTAAGCTGCGTAGGTTGTGTTCGGGGACAGCATGCTTGTCTTTATCTTGCCATGAATTTCAAGCCAGCACACACTAACAAGCTCAGCCACCTCTGAGAACCTGTGTTTGTGCATTTAAAGAATTGTAAGCAATTATAAATGTGGCTGAAAAAGAAAGAGGTCATTCAAAGAAATATAAAAAAGAAGAGAAAACTGGCTTCGGAGACTGACCTGGACTCGGATAGAGATGTCCATTTCCAATATTGAGGTGTATCACCCCACACAATCGAGAGGTCCCTTGCAGCTAACATGTAACATTTCTTTCCACTCCATTTCTCCAATGAAAAGCTCTGCCCATGCCAAACACAAACAAGAAGTTAGCCTTTGTTTCCACTTTAAAAAAGTTTATTTTAGTTCAAAAAAGCTTGCTTAGAAAAAGCATCCAAGACCCAACTTTTAATAAGTCAGTGTATTGGGCTTATTTTGAGCATTTAAATCTACAAAAACAAAGAAGCTTAAGGCTTGAAAAGTGAAACTCAACATCCTACATTTTTGAAGCACAACTAATACAAATTTTAAAAGAAATAAACAACAAATAAAAAGAAACAAACAAATATATAACTCTGATACATTTTCTAGACAGAATTGAAGTGCTAAGCAATGAATGAAGTGTTTTGGGGGCTTTTATTTCAAATCAAAACAGTTATTCTGCCACATTATTCTAAACAGAATTTCTAAAATAAAAGTTCTGCTTGTGTGTTAATTTTAATTTTTTTTTTCACTGTGGGCTGTGAGTTGTGACCGCCTGTCCTCAACCCAAGAAACTTTTAGGAAAAAATCCCAATAAAATCTATTTTTGTCATGAAAATTATATTCTGTACACATTTCATAAGAAAAATCAAACTTAATTTGATATTTTCTGAAAATTTATGGAAAGTTTGATGTTACCAAGAAAAAGCAAGTAAGCTAACTCATATGATATATAGGTAATAACGCGAAACAGAACCCAAGTAAGAGAATTGCAGAGGCTATTAGTATTGAATCTGCATCTCTATAGGGCTTGCTGTAGCATGTGGTGCCCCCAAAACAACAAAGAGGAAATTTGGGGCACTACACGAGGCAATGCATTACCAAAAATCCAGATTCATGAAAGAAATTCACAAAATTATCCAAAATTTAAAATCTACGGCTAAGACTTTTAAGCGTGCATAGACTTTTTTCTTAATCTTATTGGCATCATCACGAAATTAGAAACAATTTTCTCTGTAATAGGGAAAAAAGAATTCAACATAAGGGTCAAATAATGTCATTTTTTCTCCTACGGGAATGTGGCAAGATGGGTTACATCTTGAAAGTGGGGTTTATCCTTCCTATACAGATTTATTATTGATTGGTTTGGTGATACGTTGCGACTGATGACGTGATATTACCTTGACACTCAATTTTCTCTTCCAAAATAGATTCTACTCAATTTTCTCTCCCATAATAGGTTGAATGTGTGTATTGTTATATTAATGAATAGAATGAATCTTGATTATATAATGTGTGTATTGTATAATGTGTGTATTGTGATATTGATGTATGTAATGTGCATTGTGTATTGTGATATTAATGAATAGAATGAATCTTGATTATATACGGTGTGAATTTTCAGATTGATGTATAAAATAAATCTTGACTATATAATATGTGTATTATGAGATTGGTGTACGGAATGAGTCTCAACTATATATTGATCTTTCTGACCAACTTTCCGAATAAAATCACAGGATTTAGAATATTTACTATAATCATAACAGAAGAGGAGGCCACCTGAGCTGATGTGATGTCTCACTAACAAAATACAGTTAAAAAAATGTTGGATATATAACAGAATGCTTTGTTATTGGTGATGTTATTGAAATACATTTTCTTTCTTCTTTTATTTTTTTTGTTATGTAGGTATCTGGCCATTTTATTTTTTCTGCTATGTAGGTATCTGGCCAATTTACGCACATCAGATTCAGTCCTTACAACCAGCTTTCCAAAATAACTCATGATACTATTATTACAGAAAATGAAATTCTACGGATAGAATATAAGATATTTAATAGTAACAAATTTTGTTACCTTGGTACCATTGTCGATGATGAGAGAATTATCAGAAAGCCATAGATAAAGCTGTTTCTTGGACCATGGGGAAGAAGGAGTAGGATCCACCGATCCCATGATGTCCATGTAATCGGACGGTAGAAATGTCTCCCAAACTCCATCCGATTCGGCCGCCGACCTCAACAACGACGCCACCAGAGAAAGCCTGCACGCATCCCCAGGGCTCGTCAGCGACAACACATTCGCTATGCATCCCTCCGGCAACAAATCAATCATAGCTCCTCCTCGTCCGTCATTGCTCACCATCATCATCTCTCTCTGCCCTGGTATAGTAAATTTGTAATATGTATGTCTGTGTTGGTTATCTTTGTTTGTTTGGTTGCTAGAATTTGGGAGTGAAGGAGAGATATAATAAATAGGAGTAGGAATGAATGATAACTTGGGGATTAAGGAGTGCAATATAAATAGGAGTGGCTATGGAGGAAAGCTTAGCTATTAAGGTTTTACTTTTCCTATTATATTTAACTTACCCCATTCGCATTCCAAGGAAAAATATATATTAAAAAAAATTAAAAATTAAAAAACGAGAGGGAGAGAGAGAGAGAGAATGAGACAGAAAAGGCGGTGTGAGAGAAAAGGCGGTAGGGATTTACACGCATCTTTCGATATCCGATATGGATGGACAGATGCGGTGGACAGTCACTGCCCACATAGGCACTCAAAATTGTGTGCCGTTTGTAATTATTTAATATTTTTTTTTTGAAAGCATGTGCAATAGTGTTTAATACGTACGAATCAGTTTCTTTTTCGTTAAGGTTTCCGAGCATATCACTTCGTACATAATAAAATAATATATTATTTATTAAAAGGGTATGACTTTTGTTGGATTAGATTGGAACGTGTTATTGGGTTTATGAAAATTTATCACGGGTTCTGTTTTGATAATATGAACTGTTAATGTGTAAAATTTGTTCACGTTAATCGGATATCGATAATTATATGATCAAATCAATTTCGTATTAAAAAATTGGACGGTGAACAAATTAACAGTTGACAAAAAACTATTTTGATCACATAGCTATTAATATCCGATCAACGTAATTTTTTATAAACATATAGTACTCGACGATTTCTACACATTGAATGATTCTGATTATCAAAACGGAATCCGTGGTGGGCCCCACGAGCCCAACAGTACAGTCCAGTCCGATCTCGGATTGGACCAAAGCCACTGCCTTTTTCTATTAACAAATCTTTGTAAGCATTTAAAAATTACATTTATAATTTTCTTTTAAATGTTCTTTAGCAAAATTTATTTTGTCACAAAATTTCGAAACGTTGACATGTACATGCGTATCATCATAGAAATTGGTGGCAAAAAAATGTACAAAAATTTGTAGTTGAAGTTGGGAAAGTTTGTAAGGCTGCGTTTGGGAAGTTGGGTTTGGGCTAAATTAGCCACTAAATGACAAAAGTGGCTAATTTAGCGACAAACGGACAAAAAAAAGTTGGGAGCATGGCTGCAACAATTTGGGAAGTAAATTTACCATACTACCCCACATGAAAGAGGGGTAGCGTCAACCCACAGAAAGTAAAAAAGAAAAAAAAAAAAATCAAATCAGGCTTTTTACCAGGAAAGACAAAGAAAGTTGAACATTAATCAATCATCTTATTGACACATTACTCGAACTATAAAATAGGTCTATAAAGTAGGTTTGTATATCATTTTTCTATGATTAATAGCTATCATTTTGCATTACTTAAAGTTGAGTAAAACAACCAACAGGGATTGGTTAAGTTGGTAAGGATATAGGTATAAAACTGCATTTAATACACCCTTTGGTCAATATGAATGGAATGTCATGCCTTTTGGTTTAAAAAATGCTCCTAGTGAATTTCAACATATCATGAATGACATATTCAACCCTTTTAGTCATTTTTCTATTGTTTACATTGATGACATATTAATCTTTTCAAAATCACTTAGTGAACACTGGAAACATTTAACTGCATTCTTTTATACAATTAAAAGTCATGGTCTTGTTATTTCTGCTCCTAAAATTAAATTATTTCAAACAAAAGTCAGGTTCTTAGGATATGATATTCATCATAATACTATTTTACCCATTAGTCGATCCATTGAGTTCGCCTCTAAATTCCCTGATGAGATCCTCGACAAAACCCAATTACAAAGGTTCTTAGGTTCCCTCAATTACATTGCTGAATTCTATAAAGACCTTCGGAAAACTTGTCAACCTCTATTTGATAGGTTAAAGGATAATCCTCCTCCTTGGTCTTCTGTTCATACTTCTATTGTTCAACAGGTCAAACAATATGTCAAGTCTCTTCCTTGCCTTGGTATTCCTACTGAACATTCATTCAAAATTATTCAAACTGATGCCTCCGATATTGGTTATGGTGGCATTTTACTTCAGCAACTTACTCCTCAATCATCTGAACAAATTGTTCGTTATCATTCTGGTGTCTGGAATAAAGCACAATTCAATTATAGTACTATTAAAAAAGAAATTTTATCTACTGTTTTATGTATTCAAAAATTTCAGGATGATATTTTAAATCAAAAATTCTTACTCCGTGTTGACTGCAAATCTGCTAAATATATTCTTGAAAAGGATGTTCAAAATCTTGCTAGTAAGCAAATTTTTGCTCGATGGCAAGCTATTTTAAGTGTTTTTGATTTTGATATTACCTATATACCTGGTTGTCAAAATTCCCTACCTGATTTTCTTACCCGGGAATTTTTACAGGGGGGTAAGGGATGACTGCACCATTTACTGCTTACCATAAATCCCGAATTACCTATTTCAAAACCTTAATCAAACAGCTTACCCATCGCATTCACCGCCTCAAATTAGCTAGACCCACTACCAAAAGAGCCCAATACATCAATTACCAACAAATTCAAGCTCGCCGCAATTTACTTGCTCATAACTACAATTGTTTACATCATCACCAAGATTATCTAGATCTTCTTTCTGGTTGCTAATCACTGTTTACATTTCACAGATGTCTCGTCCAAGGCCTCCTTCAAAGGCTTTGGCCTCCTCCTCCAATAAACCAAATCAACTTATTGTCCCTCCTCCTTTGGAGTCAGTTACCCCCCCTTATTCACTCGACCTCATTAACCGTTACCAAACCCTTGGTACTATTCATCGCCCTGATTATTCATCAGCATTGGCCTCTGATCCTTTTGTATCTAGCCAATCAGTTTCAGTTACTCCATTCCCAGTTAACCCTGTTAAATCATCTCGGTCTAAATATACCAATTCACATGTTACCAACCTGTTCTATAAAGAACCCAGTCACCCACGAAATCAAACCATTAATGACATTGCTAAATTCCATTTTGGCTCTGGATGCCATTTCACCCTTTCCCATCCAGAAAAAACCCTAGCCTACTACAAGGATATTCTAATCAATCACCATTCCATTTTGATCAAACCAATCCAGGACCGCACCTATGCCTATAAGGTCTTATACCATTCACTTTATATTCACAACATTGTTTCCATGGCTGAATGGGGCAATCCTAATCAGCTTCGTGATTTACCCGGCCATTCTATTCAATATAATTACCATGATTACATTGATGCTTGATTCAAGATTTTCTTGTACCAAAATGAAACTTTTAGTCATTCTTGGTTCATCTCCTTTGATCAGAAATTCAAATCTGAATTACCCACCTGGTTTCTGAGATGGTGGACTCACTATGGCGCCATTTCAGATATCCTCCCTGATGATCTCAGTCACATAATTCATTATTTTGCCTCTGTTTACCCATTTTCTACTCACCAAAGGCAATTTCCCTTATTACTCATCTTTATTGCGAAATACAAAATTCCATGGATATTCAAATGGCATTATGGGATTAATGATAATATCATCATCCGTCAACACACAGTTAAATGGTGGGTTAAGTTCAATGTTCCCAGAATTCTTGAAATTGTTCAAGAAGAATTCCCACCTGATCAATGTGCTCCAACTCCTGCTCTTGCTAAAGCCCAGCAGAACCCAACTGCTGTAGTTACTCAAGGAAGTCAGCCTAGTCTTCCTCCAGTCAATCTTGGAAGCCCCTCATCTAGTGGCTCCAAGCCCAAATCATCCAAATCAAAGTCCAAAGCTGTTGCTGCTCAACCGGCCCAATCAAAGTCCAAATCAAAGTCTAAAGTCAAGACAAAGCCTATTCCACCTCCTGTTCAGCCCAAGAGCAAGTCCAAAGGCAAAACCCAATCATCCAAAGAAGACATGATCCAGTTAGCCCATCAATTTTTGAATCAAGCTAAAGCCCAATCCACCAGTTCCGAAGATGGTTCAGATCAGATCCATTCCTCTAAAGAATCAACTAATCAGTATTCAGGACCAGAGTTCCAAGATGCTCAAGATCCATTTGTCTGATCAACATTGGATTCCATATAGATACAAATTAGCTTCAATCAATACTCTTTTGAGAAAAGCTGCCAATTTGTATTTATATTGATTCCCTTATTCACATGTTTCACCGAAAGTGATGAATAGTAAAAGTTACTGTTCACTTTTACTGTTCACTATCACTATTCACCCAGTCAACTTTTGTTTAAAGCTGCTCAACTATTCAATCAATCAACCGAAAGCAACCGACAACATCTGTTTTTCTTCATGCGCTGCCAGCTGCTTCCTCCAAGTCAATTATTGTTTTCTTTTCTTTATGTTGTATATAATGAAATGAAGTTGTATTCATTCTGCAGACTTAGAAAAATCTGTAATCTAAGAGCTCTGAGTGAAAACCAACACCCTCATGCTGTAACCATTCAAAATCCTTGCAGTTCGTGTAATTGTAAGTTAATTTCTGTATTAAAATGTTTTATGTGTTAATGAAAATGTTTTAATTAAATATTTTAATGTGTTATTCCAATATTTTTCTGATGTTCTTTTGATTTCGTAATCCATCTCCTTCATATATATGCTTGCTTCCGCCTTTTGGTATCAGAGCCAAGTGATGTTGTATCCTGTTTCTAACTGTTTAGCTACTTCTGTTCAATCGTCTTTGTTGTTTGTTTAATTAATCTTGTTTTCAGTTCATCTTAATCACCCACAAGATCAGTCTGTTCTACCCACCTAGTTTAAGTCACCCACTTCTTCCCAGTCTTCTGTAAGACCTTCAGTTTAGGCAGCGTCAGACTTTGGGGTTTATAGATAGGGTATGTATGTATACTAGGGATGTGGTAAAATTGACAAGAATAGGGTATGTATTAAGATATCTGTAAAACTGGTTAATTACACCAAAACAATGAATCGATTATTCAGAAGTAACTCATCAGTCAGTTCTAGGTCAACGACCTTGCCTTCCATACCTAATCCAGGAATCTTAATTAATGAAGAAGATGTTGAAATACAAAATGATTCAATTAATTCTGGATGGAATATTCCAAAACTGCCTATTAAAGAGATTTAT